TTTTTATTTTGGTACCAGGGATTAAACCCAGGGACGCTTAACCACTGAGCCACATCCCTAGCCCCCCTCCCTTTTAAAAAAATATTTTTATTTGTTATTGATGGACCTTTATTTGTCTATTTTTTTATATGTAGTGCTGAGAATCAAACCCAGTGCCTCACACATACTAGGCAAGTGCTGTACCACTGAGCCACAAGCCCAGCCCATCCCCAGCCCTTTTAATTTTTATTTTCAGACAGGGCTTCACTAAGTTGCTGAGGCTGGCCTCAAACTTGAGGTTCTCCTGCCTTGGCCTCCTGAGTCACTGGGATTCCCAGTGTACTCCACCATGCACTGCTATAGTCAGATTCTTAATTGATACATATTAAAATCCCATGTGGTTAGAAATTGGTAAGAGTCACAGTTGTAAACAAAGATAATTATATGATCTTGACTGGGAAGTCATRTTGTTTTAGTCWTTTTTTTTTTTTTTTGCTSCTGTGACTAAAAGACCTGATGAGCAATTTTAGAGGAAGAAAAGTTTATTTGAGGGCTCACAGTTTCAGAAGTCTCAGTCCATAAATAATAGCCAGCTCCATTTCTCAGAGCTTGAGGTGAGGTAGAACATCATTGTGGAAGAGAGTGGTGGAAGAAAGCAGCTCAAGACATTGTAACAGGAACCAGAGAGAAACTCCACTTACCAGATACAAAATATATACCCCAAAGCCCATCTCTTCCAGCCACCCACCTTCATTTACTAGTTAATCCCTTAGGGAATTACTTCACTAATTGGGTTAAGGCTTATAATCATTTTACCTCTGAACCTTCTGAAATTGTCTCTCACATGGCCTTTTGGAGGATAACTAATATCTCTAAAACTTAACACTTGTTAAGGATATCTTTGAAGTCAGAAATCATAGAAGAAACATTTGATAAATTKGACAACAGTTTTTTATAGGCAGCAAAAACATTATAAGTAAAATTTAAAAGAYAAGATATGGGAGCAAAAGAAAACTTTTGTTATATATGTTGCAAATTAAGAATCCTTATACAGTTTTAACTGAAAAAAAAAAATTTTTTTTTTTTGTACTGAGGATTGAATTCAGGGACTTCACCTACAGGTCTTGCTAAATTGCCACCATTGCACATGCATGCACGCGTGCACACACACACACACACCCCTTTTTATAGTAATGGGGATTGAATCCAGGGATACTTATCACTGACTGACATGCCCAGTTCTTTTTTTTTTTAATTTTGAGACAAGCTGTCTCTCAGTTCATGAAAATCTTACTGAATTGCTGAGACTAGCCTCAAATTGGTGATAATCCTACCTCATCCTCCCAAATTGCTGGGATTACATATTTATGCCATTGTGCCCAGCTTAATTGAAATTTTTAAATCATTGTGCTTAATATTTTCTTAAACTTTATGGAGGAAAAGTCCTGTATCAATCAGATCTGCTAACATCAACCTCTTACTCAAATACCAAGTCAAAAGGTGATTAACTAGGAGGTGAAATTGAGCAACTTTTCATTGACTTAATTTCTCTTCTGTGAGGAGCTTTAACAGATCCTTTGCTTGTTTTCTTTTTAAWTTTTTTTTCTTACTCTAGAATACCTTATTCTAAATTATAGGGGTTATTATTCTAAATATAGGGGTATTAKTAACACTTTGTCCTCTGTAATTAATTTCTTCTAGTCTCTCACTTTTGATGTTATTACATTTAGTCATTCAGAATTGTTTCCTTCTTAAGTTGCTTTTTTTCCCCCTTCATGGCTTCTATGTTTTCTTTGATTAAGCAGACCTTACGTCAAAGTCATATATATACATACATATTTTCCAATATTTGTATCATATTTTTAAAAGGTTTTTAACCACTTTACAAAATGTTTTGTATGATAGAAAATGGGYATACCACTTTATGCTTCAGAATGATTACCTTGCTCAAAACATTTATTGAATGATCTTTCTTCCATTTTAATTGAAATACCACCTGTATTTTGCATCAGGTTCCCGTAGATATGTGAATCTGTTTCAAGGCTCTTTTCTGCTCATTAATTGTGCCAGTATCATAGTGTTTTAATTATAATAGCTTCATAATAGACTTATCTRGTAGGATAATCTCTACTGAACCATATATTAAATATTTTCTAATAGTAACAATATTTATTTTTCCATATGAAACTCAGAATTATATTAATTTTACATTAGATAGATTCTAGGATTTTTTTTTTGGTCTCTAGGAACCTGGTATGATTCTCTATTTAGTGCTAATAAATTTTTTAGCTCATTTTTTWATTTTTCTTGTTACATTTATTCCTAAATATTTTTTAGTTTTGAACATATTTTAAGATATCACTGTAAATTTTTCAAAGCAATTTTTCAAAGTATTGTTGTACATGTTTCCTTTAGAATCATAGTAGAATGAGGTGCTTTGGTTATTGTTCTGTTTAATTAATAGTTGTCAGATTACAGATTTTTTTTCAAAAACTCAGAGTAAAACATCACATAGTACTCTTTTCTTCTTGATTTAAAGGGAATTTTAGGATCTCTAATGTTATCAGCAGATTTTTCTATGAATGGCATATTTACTAGTTGGATCCTAGTTAAGTTGAATTTATTGAATGACTTTGTGCTTTTTTCCCCCTCTGTTTTATCTTATTTTGTCCTAAGGTTGTTACAACTGTTAATATGAAAGAAGGATACTACCCAATAGATGGATGTATTAAAGAAGATTCTTTTATGGAAAATTTGCATCCTAAAACGTATGTTATATGTGCACTTATTTTAGCATTTTAAGTTATATGTAYTTCTGAAACAATTTTTAGAATTATTGATAAAATATTCTTAGAACTSTGTTTCTAACCTTTTGTTTATAGAATGATCTTTGAGTTTATAATTTGTCATCACTGTTAGTAGAATGCAGAGTYCAGCTCCTAAAAAGCAGCATTATTTTGTCTTTTTAAAAATAAGAAAATAATTCAAGGATTACCACATCAGAGTGAGACACTGAGACTAGCTAAAGTTATTGCTGTTGGATGAGAGGAAGTTACAGAGGAAAAAAATGTATATAGTCTCTGCTGTTCTTAAAAGTAGCATGAATATAGTATGATAGAGGACATTGGGAAGAAATGGTTTAGAGGTAATTTATAAAGAATACTAATTTGGGGTTTATTCATTTTTCCTTTCTTCCATAAGACTTGGCACATGTGTCTATTAATAAATGTTCTCTTTGAGTTAGTATTACATAGATTTTTAAAAACAGATTTGAGCTAGAGAGAGGCATTATATTACTTTTTATTACATTTATTTAGATTTATGTTATCTGCTAGTCTGTAAGCCCCTCTTAGGGTATCCCATTTTATTTCTCACTATGTCCTTAGTGAAAGACACAGAGTAAACATGTAGTAAATGTTTATTAGATTTTAAAAAACTAATATTTTTACATTTGCTATATTTTCTGAAGTCATATCTCAATCCCAGCTCATCTAGATTGGTTATGTGCTAGATCATGGGAAAAACTTTTTAAGATATAAAGAATTTTTTTTTTTTGTTTGTTTTCTGGGGTTCTACGTAGATGGTAATTATACTTTTATATGACTTCTTTTTTTTTAAAGAGAGAGGAGAGAGAGAATTTTTTAAATATTTTTCTGTTGTCGGTGGACACAACATCTTTATTTTATTTTTATGTGGTGCTGAGGATCGAACCCAGCGCCCTACGCATGCCAGGCGAGCGCATTACCACTTGAGCCACATCCCTAGCCCATGACTTCTTAAACATATTTAATATGATAGTAGACTGTGCTAGACATAAAGAGAAATACAAGGTACTGTCAGGGAACAGTCTCATTTGGAACTTTCTAATCTTGTAAATGGTACCTAGTCAATCATCCCAGTTTCTCATATTGCAATTCATTTTACCTCCTGCAGATTCTAACTTTCACAATATCTCCTATATCCATAACATGTCTTCTGTTGCTACTACCCTATGTAATTCTCTTGTTCTCTTTTGTCTACTTCTTACCTCTTCCAGGCTCTTTCTTGTGCTATCCAGTTAAAATCTCTTTAAAGATTTAAAGATTTTAAAGATTCTTTAAAGTAGTATTCTTGAATTTTCACATTACGCCGCAGCGTGTCTTTTCAGACTTAAGAGTGCTTCCAAAGGCACCAAAGGAGTGGGTATAGTTATTTTGGGGATAGAAAATCATTTAGCTGCTGGGCTCTGTGGTGCACAACTGTAATCCCAGCAGTTTGGGAGGCTGAATCAAAAGTTCAAAGCCAGCCTCAGTGAAAGTGAGGCACTAAGCAACTCCTTGAGACCCTATATCTAAATAAAAATACAAGATAGGGCTGGGGATGTGAATCAGTGGTCAAGTGCCCCAAAGTTCAATCCCAGGTACAAAAAAAAATTAGCTAAAATCTGGTAGGTGATTTCAACTAAAACATTGAATGCCAGTACTTTTCCCAGCTCCTATAAATGTAGCTCACCAGTCACTTCCTCCTTGAGCTCTGTGTAGAGTGATTAAAGTAAATATTTAGGAATCCTTCTGGCTTATTGTGACTTAGTGGCCATAAGTCTTACCTCCATGAAGTAGTCATTTTATCAGAGTTAGGGCTTCCAGATTTGAATACCAATGAGAGTTGAACAGAGCCAAGCATACTGGCACATCATAATCCCAGAGACTTGGGAGACTGAAGCAGGAGGATTGCCAGTTGGAGGCCAGCCTGAATAATTTAGCAAGTCTCTGTCTCAATATAAAAAGAATTGGGAGTGCACAGTGTTATAGTATCCCTGGGTTCAAATTCTAGCAACACACACTTACATAGTCAAGCAGGTGACTTAAAAAGTGAGATAGGCTGAGTTTAAACGGTGGGCAGTAATGATTGTGGTACATAAGAGGGCTCACCTCTGAAAAGAAGGCAGACCCTGCAAGACCAACCAAATGTTGCCATATCCTTTCCCCAAAGACAAACTAAAGATCTGTACTTCTCTGTAAAATTTTGTGACTTAAAACACCATGCAAGTCAAATCATATTGTACTCTTGTCTAGATATATGTAATATCTAGTAGGTTTGCAAAATGAAAAGTTACTTACAGAGGTAGATTAATCCAGAAAGTTCCCAAATTTTTCCAAAATGCCATTTTAAGTTGAATTTCCCATATATATTTACGTCAGAAACTCTTTAAGTTTCTAATTTAAGTACAATATAAAGTAATTGTAAATTTTTAAATTGTAATATTTGTTGACTCATTTTTATCTATATTTTATCTGTTTTATCTATATATTTTGAAGCAAGAATTGAGAAACTTACTCTTTAGGACTATGTACTCATATATATTTTTAAAACATGAATATTTACATTTCACAATAATAGAATGTTTATAAATTATTTGGTTTTATATTTCTTTCTGTAAAAGTAACATTTGAATACCATGTTTCTTCCATAAACTATAAGCTATGGTTAACTTGGCAAACATGTAAATGCTTACTATGTGCTAGCCAATATAGAAAAAAGTTATAAAGGTAAAAATTAGTAAAAAAAAAATTCATAGACAAGAGAAAGCAACTAATATTTTTGTTTCAATTACTTAATTAAATTTATTACCTTTCTTTAAATTTTCTAAGCTTATCAATGTAATTTTAAATAGCATTTTTGTGTATATGTGCTTCTAATTTGGGGGTACAAGAACTTATTTTAATTCATGAATTTACAACATTTTATTATCAACATCTCTACCAAAAACACCAGGTAAGGAGAGGTGACTTAAGAAATGAAAACACAGGGCTGGGGATATAGCTCGGTTGGTACATTGCTTACCTAGCATGTATAAGGCCCTGGGTTCAAACCCCAGCATCACCAACAAAAAAAAAGAAAAGAAAGAAAATTCAATATATACTTTGAGATATTCTTTTCAGGGATGTGTTAAGAAATTGAATTTTATTTATTTTTTTATTTATTTTTTATTTTGTTTATTTATTTTGGGGGGTGCCATACTGGGAATTAAACCCAGGCGTATTCTACTACTAAGCTACATCCCCAGTTCCTTTTTAATCTACTTTCTGTTTATTTTTCAGTACCAAGGACTGAACCCAGGAATACTCTACCACTGAATGACACCTATATCCTTTTTTTATTTTTTATTTTGTGATGGAGTCTCACGAAGTTGCCCAAGCTCACCTCAAATTTGGGATCATTCTACCTGAGATTCCCAAATAGATGTTATTACAGGTGTGCACAACTTCACCCAGGAAGAAATTGTAATTTTTATTTTTATTTTTTATACCAGGGATTTAATTCAGAGGCATTTCACCACTGAGCTACATTCCCAGCCGTTTTTATTTTTCATTTTAAGACAGGGTATTACTAAGTTTCTGAGGCTGGCCTCCAACTTATGATCCTCCTGCCTCAGCCTCCCAAACTGCTAGGATTACAAGCATGCAGCACTGTACCCAGCAAGCAATTGGATTCTTGATTAAGTTTCTATGAGAGCATATTTACTCATGTTTTTTTCTCTTATCTTTTTTTTTTTTGAGAGAAAGAGGGAATTTTTTAATATTTATTTTATAGTTTTTGGTGGACACAACATCTTTATTTTATTTTTATGTGGTGTTGAGGCTCGAACCCAGCGCCTCGCGCATGCCAGGCCAGCGCGCTACCTCTTGAGCCACATCCCTAGCCCTTTCTCTTATCTTTTAGAGTTAATTGAGAACCCACTGCACATGTTCTTATGAATCATATAAATTATTTTCAATGAGATAAAAATCAAAATAGAAGTTTAAAACCCTTATATTCATGTTAACATTTAAAATAATGTTACTTCATATTTTCTAGGATAAAGAATTGTTCTCCAAACTGTAAAAAGCCAGTTGATCAGCTAACTGTTGGTTTAGAACATTCAACCTCCATTCACAGGACTGTTTCAAGCTCATCAGCTGTGATGTCGGTATGAGAAATACTAGTCATGAAGTAAAATAAAACCAAACATTTGGCTTTTTCTCTGGTAGCTTACCTTTCTTCTCACAAAGTTCCCATAATTTCAGATTCTTTTGGAAACAAAGGTAACAGATAAACCCACTTTCCTTACTTGAATTTCCTATTTACTCTGGGCATGAATAAGTCTAAACTATTCTTGAACAATTCTCTTTTCTTCCTATTTGTACGTAGCTTCTTCCCTTTGAACCTAATTACTGAAACCAGATTCTATGAAATACAAAGTACAAGTTTCTAAATTCTGTATGTGGTTTTTCCAGTTACTTTCATGGCAACCAAAATGCCTAACTGAATTTGTGATTGAAGATAATGATGTTATTGTTGAAGATTGAACTTTTTTTTTTTTTTTGTAGTACTAGAGATCATTAATGGCCTAGAGAGGGGAACAAGTACTTAAATCTTCGTTCTTTGCTTCAAGTTGAAATCTTTTTTTTTTTTTTGGTTTTGGGGGTTTTTTTTGTTTGTTTCTTCGTTTGTTTGTTTTAGTATTTTTTCTAGTTGTAGATGGACACAGTATCTTTATTTATTTATTTTTATGTGGTGCTGAGGACCGAACCCAGTGCTTCATCTGTGCGAGGCAAGCTCTACCACTGAGCTACAGCCCCAGACCTCAAGTTGAAATCTTAATAAATAATCTTATTTTCCTTAAAAACTGTTTATAATTTTTGTGTGCCATGACAAATTGTGCATGATAGTTGAAAAATGGTAACAGCATCATCCTGGTTTGTAAAAATATATCTATGGGAAAAAATCTAGAATGCTTATTGCCAAAAGTCTGAAATGGTGTTTATCTCTGGATAAGCAAGAGTAAAAGTGTTACTTTTGTTTTGTAATCAAAATGATATTTTGAAGTTTTTGCAATTATAATATAAGGTATCTAAGCATCTAATTTTATATATGTATGTGGTTCCCCACCCTCCTTAGGAGACTAAAACTACAGAAGAAATTGATGAAGCATTGAAGATAGCAGGCTATAATTTTGAACAATTAAATATTTCTGTAAAAGTAAGCATTTTATATGATTAAATTCTATCAAGAAGTGAAGCATGTCCTCTTTAAATGTGTACATTTAGATGTGTTATCACAGAGCTTTGAGTTTAGCAATGAGTTATTAAGCTGATAATTTAATAATAGAGAATCGCAAAAGAAGGGAAAATTTCTCCCATGGCCTGCCAGGATTGGACTTGTAGCAGTCTTGTTATGCTAGGAACTTGCTGTGAGCTATATTTGTCTCATAAGCATCCCTGATCATCTTTTCGACATTTGCATATTGTTTGGCAATATTCCCCAAATGAGAGAAGTTTATTTTCTTTTCTCCCTGCTCTTCTGGCAAAGGAGAGACTTACTCATTTGATGTCAATAAAGAAGTTCTTAAGCACCCAGTAACAACAAAATTACAAGTAGGGAGTTAGATTATGCTGTGGATGCTTTTTTGCATAGAAGATAGGACATTTTTAATTGGCAAACAGCCAAATTTCTCAAAAGTAATGAGAACTATGATAAAAGTAGTGAGATACAAGAATTGTAAAAACATTGAGAAAAGAAGGCAAAAGAGAATGATAACTGAGAAACAGTTATAAAATCAGTATCAGATTAATAATAAAAGCAAATCTATAATAAACTGGGGCTAGAAGTTCACCATCTGAACTTAGGAGGGGGAACACTTCAACCCCAAACAGGCAACAGGTGGCTTTCTGCTCCCTGTACCAAAAATTCCTGTCTTATACAATGCAAAATATATTTGCACCATCTCAACATCCCCAGAATCTTGATACCCATTTCAACATCAACTCTTAAATACAAAATCTCATCTAAATATCTTCTAAGTTATAGGTGAGACTCGATATGATTCATACTGGGGTAAAATTCCTTTCTACCTGTAATCTACACAAGAAAGCACTAAAAGCACTTTGGTGGACAGGCATAAGGATAGACATTCTCATTCCGGAGTGTTGAAATTAGAAGAAAAAGAGAGGGTCATGGATCCTATCAACAGTTTTAAAAGCAATTCAAAAATGCAAAGAAGCACCAGGCATAGGGACACATACGTAATCTCGGTGACTTGGGAGGTCGCGAGATAGGAAGATTTCAAGTTTGAGGCCAAGCCAGCCTCTCAACTAATGAGACCATGTCTCAGAGTTAAAAAAAAAAAAAAAAAAAAAAAGGAATGGGGATGCAGCTCAGTGTAAAGCATTTCCGAGTTTAATCCCCAATACCAAAAAACAAAAATAATAAAAATAAATTTATGGAAAAGCTAACTTCAAGTGTGATTTCTAAGTTTTTTGGTTTTGTTGTTTTTGTTTTTATTTAGGGAATCATACCATAGAGAAATGCAACTACCTAAAATGACTTGTGTCCTGTAATTATAAAAGAATTAAGGAAAAAAATTAGAAAACTTACCAATAAATTTTTTTAGGTCTTTTTGCCAGATTATTAGTACAAAATGCCAATAAGGGGTGGTCTTACTCACAAGTACCAGGACTTAAAATTGAACTTTGTTTCAATTTTACTGTTTATTATCATCTAATCACCTCTTGCACTATTTTGAAAAGTTTAGAAAGTACCTGTTACTTTCAAAATTATATTGACAGTTCTACTTGGGCAAAGTAAATATACCAAATTAGATCTTTGAATTGTTTTTCCCAGATGCTTGAACGCATAGAGAATCAAACAAAAGAGGAGACACATAATCTTATAGAAGTTGTGGAGAAACAATTTGATAAACTTGTTGCTTCTCTTGATTCCAGGTAATAAAATACAAACACAATGAAACCGAAGTTTTTTAATACTAACGTCATTTTTTTCTTTTGTTTAGATGAAGTAATGAATAACTTTCAAACAAGTTTGGAATGTGTAGTCTCTGTAGGCTGATTTTTAAAAATATATATAGTTTTAGTTGAAAATGGACACAATAGCTTCATTTTATTTATTTTTCAGTGGTGCCGAGGATAGAACCCAGTGCCTCACACATTCCTGGCAAGCACTCTACCACTGAGCCACAACCCCAGCCCCTATAGACTGATTTTGAGAACTTAAAAATGAAATTGGTACTTTTTTCTTTTTTGACAGTGTCAGGGATTTAACCAGGAGTTCTGTGCCACTGAACTATATCTCCAGCCCCATTTTTTAAAACTCTGAGACACAGTTTTACTAAATTGCTGAGACTGACTTGTAACTTGTGATCATCCTGCCTCTGCCACTGTGCCTAGCTTGTACTTTTTTTTTTTTAATTTTAGCTATTTACTTCTGGTCCCGAAGCTAATTTAAAATTAACAAGCTTTTTACTTAAAGCAATTTGCACAGAAAAATAAAAGCTTATGCCTGTAATCCCAGCAACTCAGGAAACTGAGGCTAAAGGATAGAAAATTCCAGGCCAGCTTCAGCAATTCAGCGAGACCCTGTGTCAAAATTAAAAGGATTGGAGATGTAGCTTAGTGCTAGAATGCTAGAGTAGCCTCATGGTAGAATGCTTCTGGGCTCAATCCCCAGTACAAAAAAAAAAAAAAAAATCACACCAAAACCCTCACATTATTGAGTTACTCAGGCTTTTCTCCAGCTTGTGATCCTTCTGCTTCATTCTCCCAAGTAGTTTGGATTACACACATGCTAGGCAAGTACTTTACCATTGAGCAACATCCCCAGATCTCTGTATTTTGAGATGGTCTCCCTGAGTTAATTAATTTTCACTATCTTGACAGTCTCTATGTATGTATATTTACTGGTGATTGAGTCCAGGGCCTGTGCATGCTAGTAGGCAGGTGCTATATCATGAGGTATGTCCCTTGCCCTTGTTAGAGTCTTTTAATTGATTTTTTTTTTTTTTGTACCAGGGATTGAACTCAGGGGCACTCAACCACTGAGCCTCATCTCCAGCCCTATTTTGTATTTTATTTAGAGACAGGGTCTCACTGAGTTGCTTAGTGCCTCACTTTTGTTGAGGCTAGTTTTGAACTCACGATCCTCCTGTCTCAGCTTCCCTAAACTCTGGGATTACAGGCATGCACCACCGTACCCAGCAATAAAAGTCCGGTTTATTACTCTTTTTTGCTTGTGCTTTTGGTGTCATATTCAAAAAAAACCATTGCCGGATCCAACATCATGGTGCTATGTTTTCTTCAAGAATTTTGTAGTTGTAATTCTTATATTTTGATCTTTGATCTGTTTTGTAATTTTTGTTTATAGTATAAGATAAGGGTCCAACTTCATTCTTTTGAATTGCGCATTCAATTTTCCCAGCACCATTTCTTGAACAGACTGTCTTTTCCACATTGAATGGTCTTGGCACCTTTATAAAAAATTAGGTCGAACTATATGTTAAGATTTAGTTAAAAATTTAGTTTCTGTTTTATGCTATTGATCTGTGTCTTTGTGTCAATACCATACTATTTCCATTACTGTATCTTAGTAGTAAGTTCTTAAATCTGAATGTGCATCTTTCATATTTGTTCTTTTTGAAACTGTTTTGATTATTCGGGAACTCATTACGACAACCTTTAGGATGGGATTTTCTATTACTGCAAGAAAGTCATTTGGATTTTATAGGGATTATATTTATTGGTAGATCACTTTGGATAGTATTGACTTGTGTGTGGTGAGGGATGCATACTAGGGATTGAATTCAAGGGTGCTCTACCACTGAGCTACATCCCCAGCCCTTTTATTTATTTATTTTAATTAATTAATTTGTCTTTTGTTTGGGGTTTTTTTTTTTTTTTGGAAACTGAATCTCACTAAGTTGCCAGTGCTGGCCTCAAACTTGCAATCCTTCTGTCTCTGCCTCCAGAGTCACTGGGATTACAAGTGTGCACCACTGCACATGGCTCTGATTTACTTTTAACTTACTTTTAGCACACATTTATCAGGTTCCTTCTATCTGCCAGGCATGGTGCTAGGAAGTGGAGAATATACAAATATCTTCCAGGAACTTCACAGCTTGGTAGTATGAATCTGAAAATGAAATGCCACTAATAATGAGATAAATCCTGGGATTATAGGCATGTCCCATCACACTGCCCATTTAGTTATATTCTTAATTTCTTTAAGCAATTTTGTATAGTATATGGTATACAAGTCTTTTTCTTCTTGGTTGCTTAGTAAGTAATTTTGATCTTTTTGTTTTATTTCATGTTTGAGACATATTTGTACACTCATGAGTAGTGGTAAATTTATGATAATTAGCATATCATCACTTTATCACTTCTTTTGGCAACTATATTAAAATTACTCTCTTCTAGCTATTTTCTAGCTTCTATTCAGATCTTTAGACCAGTTTTTAAGGTGGGTTTTTGTTTTGCTATTGAGGTATTAAAGTTCCTTATTTATTCTGTATATTAACTCTTATCAAATGTATGTTTATAAATACTTTCTCCTGTTCTGTAGGCTGTCTCTTTGTTCTGTTGATTGTATCCTTTACTATATTCACTCTACTGTGCCACATATGAATGATAACATTGTACATGTTGATATATACTTTCTTTTCTCTCCCCTTTTATTTTCACTGGTGACTAGGAACCACTGTTCTGCTCTCAACTTCTGTGGGATCTGTTTTTTTTTTTTAATATTCTCATTATGAGTAATTCATGAGTAAGATCATTTGATATTTGTCTTTATGTAATTGATTTTTTTCACTTAACATAAGGTCCTCCAGGTCCATCCATATCGCCAGAAATAACAAAATATTTTGCTTTGTATAGTTGAATAGTATTCTATTATGTGTGTGTGTATCTACATCGATATATTCCAGTCTCTGGAATTATTTGTGCTAAATTATTTGTGCTCAGCTTCTATTCAGATACATATCACATTTTCTTTAGCCTTTCTTCCATTGATGAACATTAAGGTTGATTCTATATTCTGGCTATTGTGAAAAGTGCTATGGTAAACACAGGTGAACAGGTAGTTGATTGGTTGGTGGTTGTTTTCAGTACTGGGGGTTGAGCTCCAGAGCACTCTAACCACTGAAATATATTCCCATCCCTTTTTATTTTTTATTTTGAAACAGGATCTTGTTAAAGTGCCAAGGCTGGCCTTGAACTTGTGATCCTCTTGCCTTAGCTTCCCAAGTCACTGGGAATGTGATGTGCCACTGTGTCCAGTTTGAGGTGTTTTTGTTTTTGTTTTTGTTTTTTTGGTACCAGGGATTGAACCCAGAGTCTTTTTTTATTCCTGAGCCATATCCTCAGCCCTTTTTATTTTTAACTTTGAGACAGTCTTGCTAGATTGCTGAGGATGGTCTTAAACTTTTGATCCTCCTGCTTCAGCCTCTCAAGTCTCTGGGATTACAGATTTGTGCTACTGTGCCCAGATTCTATTTAGATATTTAGCCCATTTTTTAATAGGGTTATTTGTTTTGTTTTGCTATTGAGTTTGAGTTCCCTATTTATTCTGGATGTTAACCCTTGTCAAGCATGTTTATAAATATTTTCTTCTATTCTGTAGGCTGTTTCTTGTTCTGTTGATTATATTCTTTCCTGTACAGAAGCCCTTTAGATTATTAGAGTTGCATTTGTCAATTTTTTGTTTTTGTTGCCTGTACATTTTAAATTATATTTTTAAAAAAATCATTACCCAGGCCACTGTCCTGAAGTATTTCCCTTGTGTTTTTTTCCTAGTAGTTTCATAGTTTGAGGTTTTACATTATCTATTTTCAGTTGATTTTTATTACTGGTGAGAAATGTGGTCTACTTCCATTCTTCTGCTTGTGAATATCCCCATTTATTAAAGAGATCTTTCTTTCCCTACATGTGTTCTTGGCTCCTATGTAACAACAAAAACAACAAAAATTAGATGTAAGGTGAGGGAATGTTTTGGTTCTGTATTCTTACACATTGGTTTTTGCATCTTTTGTTTTTAAATGTCAGTACCATACTGTTTGATTCTGTATGCTTTGAGGTATATTTTGAGGTCTGTACTGTGATAACTCCAGCTTTTTTTTTTTTTTTGGGCTCAGGATTGCTTTGGCTAGTCAGTCTTCTGCAATTTCATATGAATTTTATGATTTTTTTCTAATTTTATGAAAAATGGCATTGATATTTTCATGGGAGTTCAATTGAATCTGTAGATCACTTTCAGTTATATAAGCTTTTTTAACAATATTGTCAATCCATATGTAGGATATTTTCTATTTATCCTCTTCAGTTTATTTCACCAGTTTTGTATAATTTTCATTATTGAGATCTTTCACTTCTTTAGTTGAATTTATCCCTGGGGTTTTGTTTGGTTTTTAAAAGTTTGGGGGTTTCTTTCCTCCTTCCTTCTTTCCTTCACTGGGGATTGAACCCAGGGACCAAGGGGCACTTGACATTAGACTATATCCCAGTCCTTTTTATTTTTTATTTTGAGATAGGGTCTCACTAAGTTGCTGAGGCTGGTCTCAAATCCTCTTGCCTCAGCCCTCCAAGTCACTGTGATTAAAGGTGTGTGCCAATATACCCCGCTTTGGGCTTTTTTGTTGTTGTTGGAATTGAACCCAGAGTCTTTTTATTGCTGAGCCTTATCCTCAGCCCTTTTTATTTTTAATAAAAAGGGTGGTGGTGGTGGTAGTGGGTTTTTGTTTGTTTGTTTTGGGTAGCTATTATAAATGGGATTATTCTTTTAATTTTTCAAATAACTGAATGTTAGAGGATAGAAATGTTTGTGATTTTTTTGTGTTGGTTTTGTATCCTACAGCCTTATTCAATTTATTAGTTCCAACAGTTTTTTAGTGGAGTCTTTAAGTTTTGTATACCTGAAAACAAGGACAGTTTGA